CTCCCCCACCCCCCACCCCAAGGTCTGTCAATTAGCACAAAGCCTACTATTAATTAATTAAGTTGGCTGTCAATTATTCCAGAAACTTTAACAAATAAAAGATGGTTTAACTTTGTTGTCTATATCCTAACATTGGTAACGAAGAACCTAAATGGCTAGCAAGCAGAACAAACTTAATCAAAGGAGATAACAATTTCAATGGAACTACACAAAGCCATAGTAGAGAACACAGGATAGGAGAAGTGTTCACTCACACGCCCCCAAGACGTGGCCTAAATAAGATCTCCCCAGTTTTAAAGCGTTCTTCTGAGAGAGTAAACCATTCACCTGCAACTTCCATTGAAGCTTGTGTATCTTTAGAGAGCTCAGCTTCATAATCAGCAGCCACATAACACAGCTCCTGTGCTCCCATCCGAAATGGCGAAAAAATATCATCAAGCAATTTAAAAAAATAAATTTTGAATGCCTAAATATCAATTTGGACATCAAAATACAACAAAAATCAATCAATTATTTTCACTGGTTAAAAGAAGAGGTACTAAATCTATGCATCAATTTCCAATTAGATATGTTCAATGATCTCTTTGCCAACACAGCAAAACTAATGGGCATGAGGACAATGGGCCAAGAAGCTATATTCCCAGCAAACAGGAAGATAATGTAATAATCTGAAAGTTACAGCAGCACCTCTTTCAGTGTACGGACAGTGTATAGTGATTCAAGGTTTATATTGTGCTGCTGCATCAGATCCCTGAGAAATCCTGTAAGTTTCATTGCTCCCAGTCCTATCACTTCTACACCAGCTTTGCGCATTACCTTACCGCGAAAAACTATAACATAATAGTGAAATTAAATCAATCTAAAATTAATATTTTGATGTCAAAAGGAAGAGGGCCTGGGCATTAGGCCAACAGAGACTAAAGAATAAAACTCTGAATACAACTAAATCCCACAGATGACAAACTTTGAAACAAATGATTGAAACTTCATAGATCAAACAATTAGAAGCATAAACATTAAAAACACTTTAATAATGAATGAAGTTAAACTATTGATTTTTGGTTATATAATGAGACACACAAGAAAGATGACATAGAAGTGTTAGTTAGTTACTGCGAGTTAACTACAGCATTCTGCAATAGGACTAGTGACACATAAATTTATACATGATGAGAAATGAAAAAATACTCATAACTTACTTGCAACAGCAGATACGACTTGGAAACCAATATTAACAGCATGATAAGAAATGAAAACACTCATTAACTTACTTGGAACAACAGATGTGACTTGGAAACCAATATTTACAACAATTCCTGAAGTTCGTCTTGCTGCATATAAAGCTAAAGTTGCCTGCAAGTAGTAGACATGTAATATTGGCAAAATGACTTTAAAATAAAGAAAGCAAAGAAGAATCTGTCATTAGATGGTTTAAAAATGTTCTTACTATAAGTGATAAGGCCAATTGCAAAAATAAAGAAACTTGAAAAGCAATACCAAAGAGCCTCTAAATTAGACTTTCAAATGAAGGCAACATTTGGTTTCGAATACGGTGAGAGGGAGGGAGAGAGATCATCATAAGGTCTTACATACCTCAACCATATTTAGGCCATTATTTATTTTTTGGCTTTTCCATTGAAATAGCAATCACCAGCCTACATTTGGAAAAGAAAAAATACCTGGTTGATGGCACAGACAGCAGGAACATTCATGTCAAACAAGACAGAATAGATGGCTTCTTTAAGCTGCCTTCTTGATGCTTTGGCAGATTCAGTATCTGAAGCATTAGAAGGGGAAATTAGATTAGAGATCAAAAGGTAAAAGATGGTGAAGGACATCATAAGTTCCAAACCTAAAATCTAATCCAAGTCAATAAAGTTCTATTATCAAAATTCTTTCACCTCTATCCAAAGAAAAAGGTTAAGCATTTAATCAGTTCAAACCAAGAATACCAAAGAAACCATTTCATTATAAACATATCCAAAGTCAAGAAAAAAGCAGCTTCCATGCGTACTGAAAATTTTAGCCAAACATATGAGAAAAGAAGATTATTATTACAAAAATGATATCCATGGATCAACAACCATGGATATAGGCAGAAAATTGTCATCATTTTCCTCAACAATTACCCAACTTCCAATATGTTGAGTACTTTTTCTTTTGCAGGTCATGCTTATGACATTACAACAAAAGAAAGCAATAGTTAAGTGTAGAGTGTGTTTGGGCTTGCTTAAGAAAATATGATCAAACTAGTTGGGTGTTTTAAATTACTTAAAGTAGATAAATTTTTATTTAAAAAATAGGCAGTTACACATTTAAATAAAGTGTTTTTCACAAAAAGACAGTTATTATTTAAAAGAATAATAGAAAATAGATACTTATTAAAAATATTTTATAAATTATACTATTATATATATAGTTGATTTTAAGTAAATATCAAGATGGTAGTTAAAAAAATTGCTGGATGAAAAAATAAGAACCGAAAAAGATAGAAATAAAGGGCTCCTTTTTTAACTTTCGTAGGTCACTTTTAGGAACCTAATAAGCACCATTTTTTTTTTTTGTTACTAAATAGAAAGATTGAAACAAAATGCTTAAAGCTGATTATATGTATGAAATACACAATACAAAACACATAATCCTTAAAATAAATATCAAATAATAGCTAACCATCATAATGGCAGAGTGGAAGGGAAACAACAACTGGCTGTGCAGATGTTTTTACATGCATCCTGTAAAAACACATCATTAATATCTATGATTTTTAATCCTCATAATTGTGAACTGAGTAATCATGTAACTGCATGATTAATGACTGAGATTTGAAAAGCACTTAACCAGAATTTACTCTGAAATTGTTAAACAACAGACCTGCTATAAATAGTTGCGAAAAAATTTCTAAGCCTCGAGTACATTGGAGTCTCAATGTTTCCAAACTCCTGCAAATCAAATTAACAAGTATAACTTAAAAGGGAACATCATGAATTGGGAAGTAATATCAATTATAGCTGCGAATTTTTCTAAAAACTGAATTAGAACTTAAAACTAAAATCTCACTAGGAATGTGGCCGAACGCCCGGATGGAGCACCATATTTGCTCCAGCCAAACTTGCAATAGCCAGAGCCACCTTTAAAGAAAAAGAAGAACAAGAATTCTTGATTATGACGATTCTATAATGATAATAAATACAGGAAGGTCAAAAACTGGTTCATGGTAGAATCAAGAGCCTGTCCAACAAGCAACACAATCAAGCACTTACCATCAATTATAACAGAGCCAGGGACTTGTTCTCTTTGGCTATAAATTCGCATGAAGGACAACTCCCCTGTTTGACTGGAGAATTAACAGTGATAAAATATATTTGGTGAATAAAGAGAAAGCAGCCACGGTTAACATAAAGAAGAATGCATACATACATATATACATACGTAGACATGGTCTCTCCCGTGAAACATTGACATTTCATTTCTATTTATATCAGAAGATCCTTATTAGACTCCAACAGCTGAGATGAATCCTCATTGATTTCTAAATATTTTAGCGAAAGATACTTTGTAATCGGTTTATGGTGAGAAATCACCAAGATTCGAAAACATATAATTTTTAGTCTTCCTCTTTAATCGATTTTTCCGGCAAGCAAAGAGACCTCGCAGGAAGAAGAGAAAAAATCGTAGAACTCTCTCTGAACAAACCAACCCGTCAACTGATGGGAGTCGCTCTATGGACGGCAAATCAGTGAATAATTTCTTGCCGCGCCCTAGAGCAATGGGACCTATTCAATTTTTGTTTTCATCAAGCAAACGAGCTACATATCCAATAGAAGCTAAGAAAATAAACGGAACTGAAATTCGCAACTTACTGGAAAGGATAACCAGACCTCAAAGTGGTTTCGGCAAAGAAAATGGACTCCCATGGTTCTTTTTGGTTCTGAAGGAAGAAAATCCAGAGACGATTATCCGAGACGAGCAATTTCCAACATTTGCAAGTTAAGCTTAATTTGATTGTGTCTTTTGGTTCAAGAAATCGTAGTATTTGTATCAATATGTCCGTAGGTATTGGATCGAATGCGCCCATAGACGATAGCACTGATGATGAAGAAGAGGACATGGGGTAGGTCGAATTGGACCTCGAACTCGACCAGTTATACACTGATCCCCAAACCTTCTTAAGCATAGCCATAACCGCGACAAAGACTCTCACCCTTCTTCCGATGTTCGTTCTCTTTTCTAAATGAGGAATTCTCCAGAGAAATAGGCAGAGTCTGCTACGAAATAGATGGGGTTGGTGTAGAAGTTGACTGTGTACAACTGAAGTAGAAGGGGCAGGAAGGATACGACTGATGACTGGGATTAACGACGCCACGTGGAGGAATATTTTCTAATAATTTATTATTGATGTTTAATTGTTTACACTTAATTCTATTCATTAATTAATTTTATTTTTAACTATCAATTTAATATTTTTAAAAATTAATTAATTTAATGTAATTTTTATGGTATTATTTAATTAATTTAAAAATAACATATTATATTTTTATAAAAGAGAAAATGGTCCCATACTATAAAAAACTCAATTTTTACTTATTCAGATATACAATTGCGATTCTCAATTTATTTATTATCTTAAGTTTCTATTAATTCTATAATTTATATACAAATTATCCATTATCTCTCAGTTTAAAATTATAACCTCGCATCAACCGAATATATGATTTAAAATCTTGGCTAAATTGGCTATGAGAAATTTACCTAATAAATACATGCAAGAAGAAAAATTAGATGATTACATTTTTAATCTATCAAAGAGTGTTATAGAGGTCTGTGATAAGAGGCTTGTTGATGGTGGGGCTAAGAGATATGTGGTGAGACCACATGGCTTGGGGCTATGGAGGAAATTTCAGATGGATCGACATAAAATCT